CTTGAGCAGGGAAGTGTGGCCGGGGCCGGCTGCTGGGGCAGAGCAGGGCTGGCATGAAATAACTGACTTCCCCGTTATCAGCCTGCTCTGCTTCCGCCTCGCTCGGGCAAACTTCCCCGTGTCAATTCGAGCAGCTAATCTAACCCCGGCAGCACGAAGCCGCAGGAGATACGCATGCATCGAGAGGCACACACGGGTAGCTCCATCAGATTTTGTCCGACCGCAAGCACCCCAGCCCCTCTGTTGCCTCGGCGTGCTCCCAGCTCGAGGGGAGAGCAGCCCTGCAGCTCAGCAGCAGCTCAGCAGCACCGTGCGAGGCTCGGGACGGGCTGGGAAATGCTCCCAAGCCCCCACTCAGGCTTTTCATCCTCGTTTCCTTCCTAAAGCACCGAGGGCTCTACCTCCCCCTCATGTGCTGGTGTGGCCACATCTGCCATTTCCTCCTGCCCTCAGCAACTTCTGAGGCTGCTCGAGCTGATTTGGAGCAGGTTTGTGGGAAGGCAAGGCGCCTCGCTCAGCGTGGCTGTGGTGCTGCAGGGATCGGCAGGCGGCAGAGGCGAGCGCCCAGCTCCTCGGGGGGCAGCTCGTGCCAACGTGGGGACGTTACCAACCCTGCACGTAGGGCACGGCCTCGTGACTGCGCTCGTCATGGGAGCAGCTTCTGATAGAGCTCGCTCTTCCGCAGATATGGGATAAAGTAACCACGAGGCAGCGAGCCCCCGGAAACCCAGAGTCTGAGTCACGCTGCACGCGCAGCCGGCAGCTCCCGATCGCTCGCACGGGGAGCCGGGGCAGCCCGGACTCACCGCTCTTCAGCTGGTGGATCCAGCGTTTGCGCAGCTCCTCCGTCGGGGAGAAGACGTAGAGGGGGCCCTCGTCGTACACCACCTGCGGGCAACACACGTCCACGGGGCTGGGGGCTCGCGGGGGGAAGCAGGGCAGCAGGGGCTCGCGGGCAGCCGGTGCAGAGCACGAGCCGTGCCGGTGTGCGCGGGCCCCATGGTGCTCGCGGGACCATGACAGGGAGGTTATAAATAAGCCCCCTCCCCCGAGACTTTCCACTTCCTTCTCTGACTTTCGGTGTGCTGGGGTGCCAGCGAGGGCGGGCAGCTGGGCTGGGGGCTGAGCGAGCAGCGGGCAGGGAGCATCCCTCCAGCATCAGCCAGGGAACTGAAAGCTGCGGGATGAAGCTCGGAGATGCTTCCCATCGCCCCTTCAAGAGAGCTGCCCAATTCCAGCCTGCCCGACGCGGGATGTGGGCATCCCCAAAATGACGCTGTGCTTGTCCCCATGTCCTCCTCGCTGTCCTCACCCCGGTGCAGTGCCAGCCCCGCGGAGCAGGCCGGTGAAGGGGGCATGACGAGGACTCACCTGAAAGGGGTAGGGGAACCGCTCGATGATGGAGATCTGCTCCATGTTGTTGTAATCCTCCCCCTTCTTCTGGAAGAGACAGGCAGAGACGATCACTGTCCCCAGCTCCCGTCACCCCCAGGCCGGGCTGCTGCCCACCTCCCCAGCCAGAGGACGGGGGACACAAGCGGGGACCCTCACCGGGACCTGCCGCTCGGGGGGGGGGTTGTTTTCGGGCACCACCGTCTCCACGCAGGTGATCTTCTCGATGTCCACCGAGCCCTTCTTGCTGCCTCGGCGCTGCGAGAGACGGGCTGGGTTTGAGCAACCTCCAAGAGCTGCTGAGCCCCCGGCCCTCGTCCCACCCCTCGTCCTGGCGAGGGACAGTCCTGGCAGACTCACCCCGCGCTCGAAGTCGTACTCGTAGTAGGACAGCTTGCTCTCCGTCAGCAGGAACAGGCGCTTCTTGAAGTTGAGGGGCGACGTCTTCTTCTTCTGCTGCGAGCGCTTCAGGAAGATGCTCTCCAGGATGACGCTGGCCATGTCGGCCACCCCGGCTGCCTCGACGCCGTGCTCCCCGGGGTGCTGCGTGCAGGGTGACACCGACACGGCGCTTGCTCAGCCAAAACCTGCCCACGGCCAGACCTCACGCACGTTCGGGGTGTTTATAGGGTGACCTCTGGCTGTCACTGCCCCCCTCGAGGGGCCATGCCACGGACCCAGCCGCCACCCGGCAGGCTCCAGCTCCAGCGGGGTGCCGGAGGGGTCCCCGCGGCTGGCTGGACGGAGAGGGAGGGAGCTGGGGAGGCTGTGAGAAACATCGCCTCGGGGAGGAGCGTGGAGCCCAGCAGCGACACCCAGCACCCTGCCTCCTCCCCTCAGCACCGCGGTGTTTGTGGGGGCCGTTTCCTCCCGCTGCTCACCCGGGCTCTGCCTGCTGTGGCCGTGCCGCCTTGGCAGCGCGTGAGGGCCAGCTGTGGGGGCAGGATCCTAAAAGCCCAGGCTCTGAAGTCCTGAAAGCCCTAAAAAGCCCTGAATGCCCGCAGTGCTGTGCTGCTGAGAGCACGGGGTGGCCCTACAGCCACCTTCCCCCGTGCCCGTGGAGCTGCAGGAGCACGCAGACATCACTGAGCTCCCTTCCCCGTGTCAGCAGCTCTCGGTGGGGGCCAGGCTCAAGGCGCTGCCCCCAGCCAGCACCCAGAGGTGCCTGAATCCCCCTGACCCTCCCCAGGGATGGGTCCGGACCTTTCCAACACCCCTCGAGGCTGTGACAGCCCCGGTCCTGCCTGCACCTCGCGGGGGGCACGGAAACCTCCTGCTCCTCCTTCAGCTCCCTTCATCCCGGAGCAGCGGGGTCAAGCCCCGTGCTGCCCACCCGGGCACCAAACCCGCTCCCGGCAGGGACCAAAGGCGCTGTGAGCGGCCCTACTTGCTGGATCCTTTTGGGCTGTTTGGGTGGTTTATACAGAACACCACAGAAATGCTGAATTTTCGGAGCCTCCCAGGAGAACCAGCAGCCTCTGGCTGAGCCGGGAATGGGGGCGAAGGGAATTGGGGCCGGGGCAGGTGCTTGTGGCAGGGGTGCTGAGCTGTGGGGGCGCGGGGAGCCTTACCTTGGGCCGCAGCAGCTGCGTCACCGCCAGCAGTGGGGGGCAGAGGGGGCAGCTCCTCACCACGTCCTCTGAGGCGGGCGGGAAAGGACGGTGAGCGCCACAGGGGGATGCCTCCATGTCCCCATGTCCCACCTGGATCCCTGCTCGACTCATCCCAGCCCGGCAGGACTCACCGGGCTCACCTACCTCCCCACTCGGCCATCGCTGCCTCGTTGGGGCAGCCGAGGGGGTGAGTGGGTGGCTGCGAGCGTCCCCCCCCCCCGTCCCTGTCCCCGGTGTGACTTCCTGCCATTGTCACACCTCGGCCAGGCGTGCTGTGACACTCACACACCCCGCACCCGGTGCCGCCGGGCCTGCCCGAGCTCTGCGCTGTGCCCCCCGGCCCGACGGGCAGCCCGACGGCCACCACGGGTGGCCACGGGGCGGGCTGGGAACGTCCCTGTCGCTGTAGGGCACAGGGGAAGGGGCCTGGGGTGTCCTTGTCCCCAAACCAGGGCTGGTGACACCAACCCCTCATTTCGGGCACAGCCCAGAGGGTGACAAAAATGAAGGTTGGGAGGCGGAGGAGGGAACGTGGACGGCAGCACCCCCACACCTCCCCAGCGCCCTGCCCCAGCGCCACGAGCACCCATCCAGCGCCCCAACACCGTGCTCCAGCACAACCCCAAGCCCCCCAGCACCCCAAAACCCCCCCGGCACCCCTCTCAGCGCGACCCCACACCCCCCAGCACCTCCCCGCTGCCCGACGGCGGAGGTGTGAGGCCGGGAGCCCTCGTGCCACCCTCGCCGGCTGTCCCCGTGCCACGCGGCATTAGGGCCGTGTCTCCCCAGCACCCCACACTTACCGAGCCCTACAGCCAGCCCTACAGCCGGACGGGGTCCCGCTGCGCCCGCTGCCCCGCGCCCTCCCCGAGCGGCCCAGCCCCGCGGCTCGGCTCGGGTCGGGGCGGCTGGGACACGACGCAGGGATGGTGGGGTCGGCCGCGCAGGGAGGAAGGACGCGGCCGGCCAACCCCACCCTTTCGGTTCCCCTTTTTTTTTTTTTTTTTTTTTTTTTTTTGGGGTTTCTCACTCAGAGCAGCAGCTGCGTTTCCTCCTGGAGATGGCCAGGGCCAGCTCCGCAGAGCCAGCAGCAGCAGCAGGGCGGCCGCACGGAGGGGTGGCGGGGCTGGACGTGGGGTCTGGGAGAAGGGGCTGAGGTTGGTGGCATGGGGCTGGGGTGTGGGGCTGGGATTTGGGGTGGGCAGCGGGGTGACATGCACGAACAGCAGGCGGGGGCCTCCTCCTGCCCACCTTGTCCCTGCACCCCATGTCCCCGGCCACCCATGTCCCCATGCACCCTGCACCCCATGTCTCCATGTCCTCTTGCCCCATATCCCCACACCCCATGGCCCTATGTCCCTGTACCCCATGTCCCTATGGTCCTATGTCCCCATATCCCTGCACCCCATGACCCTATGTCCCCATATCCCTGTACCCCATGTCCCCATGGCCCTAAGTCCCCATATCTCTGCACCCAATGTCCATATGTCCTCATGTCCCTGTACCCCATGTCCCCATATCCCCATATCCCTACATCCCATGTCCCCATGTGTCCATATCCCCGCACCCCATGTCCTTATGTCCCCATGTCCCTGTACCCCATGTCCCTATGTCCTCATGTCCTCATATCCCTGCACCCCATGGCCCTATGGCCCTATGTCCCATCCCCATATCCCTGCACCCCATGGCCCTATGTCCCTGTACCCCATGTCCCCATGGCCCTAAGTCCCCATATCCCTGCACCCCATGTCCCCATATCGCTGCACACCATGTCCCTATTTCCCCATGTCCCTGCATCCCATGTCCCTTTGTCCCCATGTCCCCATGTCCCCATATCCCTGCACCCCATGTCCCTACGTCCCCATGTTCCTGCACACCATGTCCCCATGTCCCCATGTCCCCATGTCCCTGCACCCCATATCCCTTTGCCCCCATGTCCCCATATCCCCACGCCCCTTGTCCCCCGTCCCCATGTCCCCCCGCCCCCTCCCCCTCCCTCCAGCAGGGGGCGCTCTCTCCCCGCTCCCCTCCTCTCTATGGTTCCCCCCCCTCCCATCTCCTTCCGCTTCCGGCTCGCTCCTTCTCCTCGGGTGCCGCCACCAAGATGGTGGGTGCGGGCGGCCGGGGGCGGGGGGCCCGGCTCCATCCGCCGCCATCCGCCCCCGCCGCGCCTCGGAGCGGCCGCGGGAGGCCCTGTCCGAGCTGGGGACCGCTCGGGGAAGCGGCGGCGGGGGGAGGCGGCGGGCGCGGGGCCTGTCCCGGCGGGATGGGGACGGGGTTGTGGGGGGGGGAGGCCAGGCCAGGCCGTGCTGACCGCCCGGCCTCTCCCCGCTGCCGCAGGTGAACGTGCCCAAGACCCGCCGGACCTACTGCAAGAAGTGCGGCAAGCACCAGCCGCACAAGGTCACGCAGTACAAGAAGGGCAAGGACTCGCTGTACGCCCAGGGTGAGCCCGGGGAGGCTGGGGTGGGAGCGGGGCCGCTGCGGGGCAGCTGGAGGCTGAGGTTGGCGGCTGGGGTGCGTGTGTTTGGCTGTTGCCTCAATGTGCTTGTTTCCCCCTGTAGGCAAGAGGCGCTACGATAGGAAGCAGAGCGGCTATGGCGGCCAGACGAAGCCCATCTTCCGCAAGAAGGTCAGTGCGGCTTCTCTGAGCCGTGGCATCTTCACAGTCCTCACGCCCTGCTGAAGCAGGACACGTCTGCCTCCTTGCCACGGGCTGGTTGTGTGCTCGAGCAGTGCTACAGCAGCTCTGCGCTGGTAGTGGTGTCTAAGGAGTGTAAGAACACAATTCCCACCCCTGTCTGCTGTTTGCCCCAGCTGCTCTGTCTCATTTAGACATTCCTTGATCATGCTGGAGCGATGCAGCCTGTGTTTGTGGAGCAGCTGCTGCAGGGATCCTGCTGCTTGAGGACTGCATGGCCTTCATGGGAGTGGTGCTTTTAATGAAAGGAGTGTTTTCCCCCTTGCTAAAGGATATGATAAAGGGAAAGAAAGCCTGCTGTTAGCTTTCCAGATGTTCTCAAAGCATTGGTAGTTTGTCTTTAGAACTTGTTCTCCAGGTGTGTGAGGCTCTGCACAGCCAGGCTGCCTTCACTGGCAAGGGTACAATGGGGTGAAGAGCTCCCAGCTCCTGGGGGTACTGCAGAACGCAGAATGCTTTCCTTGCAGGCTGCTCTCCAAAGAAATCCGTATCACTGAGCCAGCAAATCACAGCTGCTGTTCTCCTGAGAGTCTCAAAGCAGCAGTGGAAAGCGTGGTGCATTCTGTTAGCGGTGCATTAGAGCGATGTGCTGCTGCCATCCTCCCTCTGCAGGTTACGGGGTACCTGGAATTGCAGACCTCCTGCATGTTTCCCCTCTGTGTGCCCCTTCTGCTAGGAGATGGGGGACAAAAACCTTGAAATTTACAGCAGGGAAGCAAAACCTGACAGATTTATAAAAGTTCTCGTGCAAACTGTGTAGCTGTGCTTACAGAGCCACTTGGCTAGCTGCTGGGAAGCCCTGGTGTTCTGCTGGAGGCTTCTGGGAAGTCTTCCAGCAGGAAGAAAAAAGGGTGGTGTTTTTTTAAGCTGGGAGAGTTGGCAGGAGATGCTCCTGCAAGCAGGGTACCCGAAGCAGCAGCACTGCTCCCAGCTTGGCACCCCGCTGCACGCTGCCGTCCCCGTTTGTTTCCCTCCAGCCAGCACTGGGGGTGAGCAGCTGGGGTTTGTCACTAGGCTGCGGCTCTGTCCCGCTGCTCCAGCGGCCTCACAGCTTCGGGTTCTTCCCTCCGCAGCCTTCCGAGCATCAGCTCTTGTCAGTAGCTGCAGGTCTGCGTTCAGCACGTCACATCACTGCTCCTGCAGGGGGAGGTTTGCCAGCTTTTGGGTGTTTCTTCTGGTGGGCGCTCTGCCAAACTCCCTGAATGCTGCCGGGGCTGTCATCCTGCACCCTGAACAAGGGGCTGCTCCTCGGTGCTTTCTAAACACAGAACACCACAGCAGGTGAAGGCACAGATCACTAAGTTCTCTTACGGGTGTTCTAAGGTACCTGGCTGTGTTTAACGGAGGCAGCCCAGCTGCGTTGCTGGTTTCCTCTTTATATTTGAGGAATCAGCTGGTGAATCTAAAGCAGCACAGGTAACGGGCTGTCCCCAGGAGCTGCTGTCACCCACTTCTGGGCACTTCTCACCGATACCCGCTGCTCTTCTCCTCCCAGGCCAAGACCACAAAGAAAATTGTGCTGAGGCTGGAGTGCGTGGAGCCCAACTGCAGGTCCAAGCGGATGCTGGCGATTAAGAGGTGCAAGCACTTTGAGCTGGGAGGAGACAAGAAGAGAAAGGTACGTTGGGGTACCCCAAATGTGGGTGTACCCTGAATGGGAGAGCATTGTCAGAGCTGGGGGAGGGTAGATGCAGTGGGAGTAAACTCATGGTCTCTTCCTTTTTGCAGGGCCAGGTGATCCAGTTCTAAGCTCCATCCCCCAGTTTGGACTATATTAAAGGAATTGGAAGAGATCTGTTGCTTGTCTGTCTGTGTCTCCTGCTTTTGGGGGGGGCGGGACTTGCCTTAACCCAGCTGGAAGGCGTTCGGAACAAAGCTGAGCAGTTGGATTTGATTGCTTAGGAAGGGTTTTGAAGAAACCTTGCCCACAGCTGGCACCTCCTCAGGGTGTTCCAGGAGGTACATAAAGCATGGCTGAGCCCGAGGCTCTGCAGATTTGTGCACCAGCAGCGTCTGGGGGTGCTCCTCGGGCTGACACGAGGACCTCTGACAGAACGCTGCCTTCAGCAGGGCTGCTTTAAACTTCTGCAGCTCGTCTCCTGTAAATAGTTTGTGCCTCTATCACAGCAGTTGTGTTTCAGGAGTACTTTAAGCCTCTGCGGTGAGTCTGAATTGTTGGTAGGTGAAGCAATATTTGGGAAAAGGCTTTAAAATGCCTGTTGCAGTTGTGTAGCTCCCCGATAGGCCTTTTTTGAGTGCTGGGCCTGGAGGGGAGGCAGGCGAGATTCCTTGCAGCAGTGATGTTGTGTTTTTTTTTTGACCCAGGAAGAACTGGGGTAACTTGAGCTCCCCTGAGCAGCCCTCACGCTTCTCACAAGCAGCTGGGCTGTGCTGCAGCCAGCGGCTAGCACCAGGGGCTGTGTTTGAGGAAGCATCCTGTGCACCACCAGGCAGCGGTTACTCACCGCAGCTCAGCTCCGAGCTGCCTGTGGAGGCTGCGAGCTGCGTGGCCGTGCAGAGCGATGGCTGATCCATGTACGTTGGCTCCCCCAGCTGGGTGTTGTGCTGGAAGGAGGTGCTGGCACAGCAGGCTTCAGCTGCCTGCCTCCCATCTCGCTGAGTTATCTTCCTTACAAGAAAAATCCCGAGCACAGCACGTCAGCATCAAGCGAGGGGTGACTGCTGAGCAGCAGAGTGTGGTGTGCTTTAGGACAGGCTGTCCTGCACTCTGGCAGCAACCCACTCACAGGAGAACTATGAAAAACCTTCACCCTTTTTAGGGAACACTTTAATTGGAGTTTGTAATCACAACCAGAACAAATCAAGGCACCTGCATCGTGTGGCAGGCAGAGAGAGCACACATACATGGTAGTTGCATAAGAACCTGCGTAACTTTAGCCTAAAGACTGCTGCCAGCAGCAAAAGAAGGGCGGTGCTGTTGGGAAGGAGCCCCCAGGGGCCCTTTGAGGAGTGGGGAGGGGAGCTGCTGTCTAGAGGGAAGCTCCAGCCACAGGTAGGGGGCTCCTGGGGTAAGGAGCAGCCCTCAACGCTGAGAGCAGACAGCAACAACTGCAGCGAGCCAGGCCAGTCCCTGAGTTCAGTGATAACCACGCTCTGAGGAGGGGGTGGGCTTTCTTTGGCAGCTTTTCTGTGTTTTTTTTGGGGGGGGCTGAGTGTCCCTGTAGAGCCCAGCTCGCAAAGCAGCAGCGAGGCAGCTGGGCTGCATTTCCCCGCTGAGCCTGGAGAGCTGTAGGACACCACATCTGTCCTTAGTGTCTTCAGGCAGGGGCTGTCAGTGCTGGGAGCAGCACTGGACAGGGGGAGTTAGGTGAGATACCACAGAAAGGGTAAATAGGAGAGGAGCAGCCCTTGGAGAAGCAGTTGAGTGGAGAATGAGGACAGAACAGAGGCACCCCGCTCAGAGGCTGTTGTGTCTGCGTGCCTCCTACAGCGCATCCACCCTGAGCAGCACGGTGCCCGTGGGGTTCACCTCCACGCTGAGCGAGGACACCCAGCTGTGCACGCCCCAGTCCCTGCTGCTGGGCAGCACCTGCCGCACGGAGCAGGCGGGGTTGCAGGCCAGCCCGTTACCCAGGAAGGCGAGGGAGAAGGAGAAGTTCTGCGGCCCCCCGATCTCCTGCTGGTACAGCACCGCCACCGCGTAGGCGCCGCCCGACAGTGGCCGCTCCCAGAGCTCGAAGTTTTTGTCCTGCCGAGGAGGGAACAAACCCCGAGGCGTGTGTTAGGGGAGGGAGAACAGCCTGGGTGCTGGCTGCTCTCAGAGGAGGCCAGCAGCCTGTGCACCCAAAACAGCTCGGCCGTACCTTGGTGATGCGATATCCCTGCTTGCCCAGCGGATCCTGGTTGATGGCGATCACCTCTTTGTTCTGCAGCAGCCACTTGGCCTCGGGGCTGATGCGCCGCAGGTCGTTGGACATGAAGAGGGGAGCAGCCATGATGGCCCACATCGCCATCTGCGTCACCGCCTGGTCCCAGCTCAGCCCGAAGTTCCCGATCACCAGCTGTGACGGGAAATTAAAAAGGTGCCCGGTGATGCTGCCTGCCCAGGAGAAACTGGGCTGCCACGCTCAGCACCTGTAAATGACAGGATGCTGAGGGTGGGACAGGTTAGATAGGCCAGGAGCCAGACCAGCCCGTTGGGTGGCAATTCTCTCAGCAGGTGCTCGATCCCAGGGCCCCCTCAGAGCCTTTTACCCCAGTATTTCTCCCTCAAATCCTTCCCTCTGCCCGCAGCCGAGGAAAGGAGTTTCTGCTGGTGCTGCCCTACTTGCCATGTCAGGGTCGTTCCAGCCCCCTGGCCCAGCTATCTTCACAATGCTGTCCTGGTGAAGCGCTGTCCACTCCACGATGCTCTTGATGCTGTTCCAAGAGTCGTAGACATCAAAGAAGTTCCTCCAGTGGTTGCAGTACTGTTTGATCTCCGTGTAATTGGGCTGCCAAAACAACGAGTGTCATTAGCCAGAGAGCTTGTCTGCGCAAGGTCAGGAACGTACACAAAGCATCAGCAACATTTTGGGGCAGAACCATATATTTTTGGTGGCAGAACCACCAAGCTCTGTCAGAAAATCCCCTCAGACTTCACCAAAGGTGGGATGGGAGCAGTGGCACTAAGGTGTGACATCCTACTAATTACTGCAGTGTCTCGGGTTTACACCCTTCAGTGACTAACGCGTTTATCTCTGTGGGAGGGATGGCCACATCCTGTCCTGCCAGCTGTGGGTGGAGAGCAAAGCATCAGCCACGGACCCCGGCTGGCAAAAACGTGTTCATAACCACCACGGAGGATTCCTATGAAATAGGCTGCCCTGTTCAGGATCCTGCTGAATGCTCAGCAGAGCAGTGACTGGCCTCAGGTGCGCCTCTGGGAAAAACCCAGAGTTTTTCCTCCACCTTGCAGTCCTGCTCCCTGTCAGAGCAGAGAGCTCCCTGGGAGGCTGCTCTGCACTCTCAGCACTTTCCTGTTCCTCCCGCCGCGTGATGCCAGCCCTGAGACACGCTCCTCACCTGCTGCATGGGCCTCAGGTAGAAGGGCCATTCGCAGGAGTACACGATGGGTCTGCCAGTCTTGTTCAGGGCCAGAGACATCCTCCTGTAACCTGAGGGAAGAGAGCGGGCAGGTTACACAATCCCCTGGGTCATGGAGAACTGAGCCAGTGTCACAGGTTTGGGTTTCAGTTCAACTCTTGCAAAATCAAGGCTGAAGGAGGCAGCCAGCCTCCTGCCTCACAGGGATAGGCGAGCTTCAGTGCCTTGCTGCTCTGTGACTGATCACTTTGTCTCCTGGTTTTGGCTGGGATAGAGCCCCGGGGAGAAGCTGCAGTTTTGCTGTGTGGTGTTTTTTTCCTGGGAAATACACATTGGTATCTATCAAGCTGCTGGGCACAGCTGCAGTGGTTAATGTTGCAGGAAAATGTCCTTAGGAAGGACTTGTGCCATATGGGCTGGGCAGGAATGCAAAGCCACCAGTTTTGTCCTGTCCTTGTCCCCAGACGGCCCTGTTACATCCCTTTTAATCAGCAGCGAGGGGATGAAGAGCCCGCTCTCTCTCCTGGAACTGCTTCAGGATCGCACCTGGGTTACACACAGCAGCCAACAACAGCTTCCAGCCTAGCTGCTGCCTGCGGTGCTGAGCTGAGCTCCTGGCCCCAGCAGCCAGCGTACGCCCGACCAGCTGGCTGTGACGGGATCGTCACTCGGGCAGGTTCCTGCTGCCAGACCCAGCCAGGACCGTAGGGCTCCTGCTGCCAACGCTGTGGTGCTGACTGTGCCAGCAGGGAGAGCCCCGTCAACAGAAAACCATCTTCCAAGCCCCAGGAGGTTTTTCACGCCAGAACTCTCTTCAATTTTTGCTGTTAAAAGCCCTGATAACTGCCTTTTTGCAGCTGACGCAAGCTGTTCTGGCGTGCAGCTGATCCATTACGGCACGGCCTCGCCGAGGGACTAAGGGCTAAGTGTGTGAAGTGTTTTGAGCTCTCCATTGAAGGCATTCCAGAAGGGCAAAGCCTCTGTGGTGCTAAGAGCTGATGCAGCACTCTGCACAGAGCCCCCAGAGCACGCAGCCCCTGGTGTGAGGCAGCTTCTGCCTCAAGCCCTGCCTGTGAGCGAAGCTCCAGGAGGGGGGAGGCTGAGCAGCCAAAAACCACTTGGGCCAGCAAAACTCACGGCCTTGGAGAGAGCAACCTTGAGCTCGGGCACACAGCCTCCTACCTGCTTCTGTAAGCAAATCCCTCAAACGAGCAAGCTCGGGCAGAAAAGCAGATCCCCAGAGGCTCGGGACTGCTGCCGAGCACCTTGCCCATGCACCCACCTTCTGCCAGCAGCTCCAGCGAGCCAGAGTTGCAGCCGTCGAACTTGAGCAGGTCCACGCCCCACGAGGCGAAGGTCTGGGCGTCCAGCTCGTAGTGCCCGTAGCTGCCGGGGAAGCCGGCGCACGTCTGGTTCCCGACGTCGCTGTAGATCCCCAGCTTCAGCCCCCGCGCGTGCACCTGGGCTCGGGAGCAGACAGAGGCCAGGGCTTGGGGTGCCGGCCCCTGAGGCCGCTTCCCCCCCGGCCTCCCGGTCCCGCCATGCTCCCGGCGCTCACTCACGTAGTCCGCCAGCCGCTGGATGCCCCCGGGGAAGCGGCGGGGGTCTGCCCTGCAGCCTGCCGCGCTCGTCCCGCTGTGGGGGCCGCCCAGCAGTCGTCGATGCACAGGTACTGGTAGCCCGCATCCCGCCAGCCCTCTGCAGCCATCACGTCGGCCATCTCGGTGAACAGCTGCTCGCTGCTGGGCAGGAGCATGGTGGGGCTCGGGACTGGTATACCGGGACAGCACCCCCGGGACACCGGGCACCCCCGGGACTAAGACACCGGGACACTGGGCACCCCGGGACCGGGACAATAGGACACCGGGCACTGCTGGGACCGGGACACCAAGACACCAGCACCTCGGGCACCCCGGGACCGGGACACCGGGCACCTCTGGCACCCCGGGACCCCCGGGACACCGAGACCCCATCACACCGGGACCCCCGGGACCGGGATCCCTGGGACACCAGGCACCCCCGGGACCTCCAGGACACCGGCATACGTCACACCAGGACCCCCTGGACCAGGACCCCTGGGACCCCAGCACCCTCGGGACCGGGACCCGGCCCCAGCACCCCGGGCACCCCCTGGACCCCGGTCCCGGGACCCCGTCATCCCCCGCTCCCCCTCCCACCACCCCCTTGGCCGTACCTGACGCAGCGGTGGGGCTGCGCGCTGCAGTCGGTGGCGCAGAGGAAGCGCTCCCAGTGCAGCCAGCCCATGGGCGGCGTCCTGGCCACGCCGTTAGTCCAGCGCCACCGCCGCCGCCGCCAGCAGCAGGACCCGGAGCAGCCCCGGCACGGCCGCCGCCATGATGGAGCCGCGCTGGTCACGTGACGCTGGGGGAGGGGGTCACGTGGGACGAAGGCCAGCGATGTCCGCCCCCCCCTCAGACCCCCCCCCCCCCCTCCCGCCAGGGGGCGCCGCTGCCCCGTGTGGGGCCTGGCGGCCATGGCGGGGCCGGGCAGTGCCAGGCGCGGGGCCTGAGGCGAGCTGAGCGCTCGGGTCCTCGCCTTGTTGTAAAAACAGTCCCAGAGTCACACAGTCACACAAATGCAGGGGTTGGGAGGGACCCCCAGGCACCACCATGCCCCACAGCCCTCCATGTTTTAACACCTCCAGAGGCGCCCCCACAGCCTCCCCACACAGCAGCCCCAGCGCCCCCACAGCCCTCACGGTCCCGTTTCGGTCCCGTTTGCTGCGGAGCTTCCTGGGCTCCATTCTGTGCCCATCGCCCCTTGTGCTGTCCCCGCTGACGGAGCTTGGCCACATCCCGCTGTGCCCCACACAACCGCCCCCTGCTCCAGACCCGGTGCCTCGACCGTGCCCCGCAGGTGTGGTCAGTCTGTCCCAAAAGCCGTCTGTCTGTCCCCGCCAGCCCCCGTGCCTGACACCCATCCCCATCCCACAGCCCACAGCTCCCTGTTGTGGTCACACACCCCTGGTCCTCTGTGTGACCCCTCCTCGCTGTCCTGGGACCATCCCCGCAGCGAGGTGGGCGGCTGGGTGGGTGCTGTGGGTCCAGCAGGGTTCCCCAGCCCCTTTTTGGGGTGAGGATCAACAAAAGAGCAGAGCCAAGCACCACGCGGTGCTGCCGGGCCTCCTGCAGGGTGCTGGGCCCTGGGGGCTGGCGGGGAGCAGGGCAGGAGGAGGCAGCACCCATGGGTGCAGAGGGGCAGGAGGAGGCAGGTCGCACAAGGCTGTGGGGCCGTAAGCACCGCGCTGGCAGGCAGGCAGGGAGCTGCCAGCACCCATTGTGCTGATTTTAATATCTGGGAGTCACGTTAACCTGGTGTAACTCCATTAACTTCAATTTACACCGGCAATTAACTCAGCCACGGCTGCTGGTCCCGTGCCCACGGCTGCCTCCTGCGGCAGCCAGGACGTGTCCCGAACGTGCAGCACCGTGCAGGGAAGGGAAAAACGGCCCCAGAGGAGGTCTGTGGGCTTTCTGCGGGATGGAGCCTCCTGGGCTGGCTGCTGCCCACGCTGCACCCCCAGCCTGGGCACTGCTGCTGCCCCCAGGCCCAGGGACACACCAGAGCAGCAGTGCGGGTGTCCCGGTGGCTCCTGGCTCAAGCTGGGAGCACTGGGCAGGGGCTGAGGGCTGCTGCTGGCCCCAAAAAGGCTCCTGGGGTGCCCATGGGGCCGTGGGGTGGCAGTGCTCCCCTAAACATTCACCACCATGGTGCCAAAAGTGAGGGCCCCCTCTGCCTGGCTGCAACCAGAGTCGATGCAGTTTATCTTGCGGTGTCAGATTTTTACTCTTTCCATTTTTCTGGGAAGCACCAGTTCTTGGAATCAGGGTGCTTTAGGGCCGACCCCAGCTTTTCTACCCAAACAGACCCCATGTGCCCTGACCTGCTGCTCGGTAAAGGAGAGCAGCGAGGCCAGGCAGGGAGGAACACGGGAGCATCGCAGGTTTGGTTTCTCCTAGCAGAACAACCCGGGCTCCCAGCCCGCCGGCCTGCGCCTTGCCTGCTCCCCTCCCCACTGCAGAAACCCTCTCTGGGGGCCGTTGGGGCGATGGGGCTGCGAGGTACGGGGTGCCCAACAGAGCCGATCTGTGCGACTTGGCCGGGAGCACAGAGGGAGATTGATGCTTGCTTGCGAGCTCGGCCGTCAGCTGCGAGCTCTGCCTGCCCCCACGCCAGCTGGGGACAGAAGCGCTGGCCCGGGGTGGCACCGCGGGGCTGGCGTAAGCCCCCGGCACAGCTGGCAGTGCTCTGAGGCTGGCACCGGCCCAGGACACGCAGGGAGGCTGGGACACTCGATGTATTGGGGTGTCCGAGCTCCACCGTGGAGCTGGAGACCCCCCCGACCCCATATCTGTCCCCACACACACACCTGGGGTCCCGTCCCGCAGGCAGACCCCCAGCAGACAAATCACCCATGGGGGTAACGAGGTCTGGGCAGAGTTGCAGGGCTGGAGCATCCTCATCCCTGCATCCCTCCCGCGGCCGGGAGCTGGAGCCGGATCAGGCCACGGGGGTCTGGGCGGAGAGAAACCCCCAGCACACCGCTGAAAATCCCAGGAAGGGTTTATTTGTGCAGGAAGACCGAGCCTGTTTAAAAACCCACGGGTTCTGGAGCTCGGGTTGGCCACCAGGCACCTGCGGGTGCTGCCCACGTGCCGGCATCACCTCCCGATGGGCTCCCCCCAAAAAACAAGTCTCTGAAGGCTGCCTGAGGTGGGGCAGCAGCAGGGGGGGCACCCAGCAGTGGCGATGGGCTGGAGCCATCCCAGCCCGTCCTGGTGGGCTCTGCCCTGCCTGTGCCCTGCTCCTGGCGCTGCGGGGGGATGGATGCCGGGGGGCTGCAGCAAACCACCCCACAGAGGACACGAGCCCCGCCTGGGCTTGCTGTGAGCAGGGGGAAAGGAGAGCAGCAACACATTTCTCACGGCGGGACCTACAGAAACGTTGCCTACTGCTTTTATTTCCAGCTAAGCACGGAGGACACCCGGGTTCGGAGGGCTGGAAGCCTTGCTGGATTTGGAAGTCGAGGGTTTGGGTGCTCTCCGGTGGAGGAGCAGCCGGGGTGAACCACACCTGGGGGCTGGACTGGGGCTGGGGGAGGGTAACTGGGGGCCGGGGTCAGCAAGGCTGGGGCGATTTCACCTCCTGCTCTCTGCTGCTGGCACCGTGGTGACGTGCCACCGCCTCCTCCCGAGCAGCACGGCCATGTCCAGCGGTGGCAGCCACTGCAGAGATGCCACCACGGCTCTGCTCCTCCAAAGGGGGTCAGCCGAGCTGCCCCCACACTTCCAACCCCAAAAAACCCCCCTCAGCATCCTGCCCGGGGTGCTGAGCAGCTCCTGCCATGGGCTGTGTGTGCCACCCGCCTTCCTTCTCCATCCGTGGGGGCCCTGGCAGGGCGGGTGGCAGTCGGGGACGGGGAAGGACGTCACAGACATCGCTCCTGGGACATGTGCCCTAGAATAGGGACAGCGCTGGGCTCTGCAGCAGGACAGCTGCCTGGCCCCGACCCTTCACTGTGGGGCTGGGAAGGGGCCAGAAGGGCCCTGGCCATGGCCAGGATGGGCTGGGGGCTGGGGGCTACCCCCAGCTGGTCCCCTCCCTCAGCACCCAGAGGGACCCGGGGGCTGCCGCGTGTCCTCGCTCCGAGCCCCGGCCTGGCTGTGACAGACACAAACGTGGCTCTGGCTCCAGGCATGCAGCGGGGCCTGGCCCAGAGGCAGTCCCTCATTTTCGGGCCTCAGGGCACCGGGTGGATGTCCTCCGAGCGCAGCACTTTGTAGACGACCCAGTAGAAGATATTGAAGACCAGGAAGGTGAAGGGGAAGACGGCTCGGGAGATGGTGTCGATTCGCTTGGCGCGGTCAACGTAGCGCCGGCGGAGGGTGTCCCCTTCCCGCAGCAGCGCGCTGCCCAGGGGGGGGCTGTAGATGCCAGGACCCTCCCCGGGACCCTCCTTCGCCTGCAGGCAGTGGCCCAGCCCGTAGCCTCGCAAGTAGAAGCGGCTCTCGCGGACGAGCTCTTCCTCCTGGCGGGGGAAAGCGCCGTCAGCCAGGCAGCAAACGCAGCGGGTGTGAGCAGGGGATGGATGCCCCGTGTGTGTGTGCCAGCCCCGTGTGTGCCAGCCCCGCTGCACGCCCCTGTGGGTGCCTTGAGCGTGCAGACAGAAGCACGGGGATGGCAGGGGTACCCAGGGGTGTGGAGGATCACGGAGCACCCACAGAGCCTTCCAGGTGCACCCACCAGCCCTGGCAGCCCAGCACGGGGACCCCCAGAGCCCACCCGGGTGCCTGGGCAGCCCGGCTCTCGGCACAAAGGTACTGGGGTGAACTGGGGGAGGTGGAGTCCCAGCCAGCAGCACCCGCACTCCTCCCCGACAGCCGCGCTTCGTTAGCGAGCTGCTTCATTAGCAAGCCACGCCAGCCTGCTCGTTCACCCTTTGTGGGGCTTTGCGTGTGGCTCTCCACAGAGCCCCATCCTCGCTCCGTGCCCACACAACGTGGGTGCCACCTCCGAGCAGCGCTGCCCTCCGAAGGGCAGCACCCGGCCTGCGTGGGCACCCGGCCGGCCAGGGGGGCTCTCATGCGGAGAGCCGGCGGCCACGGATCTTTATTTATCTCTGCAATCTGCCGGCTAAGCAAGATTTCCCGGTGGGAAGAGCAGCAGAGGCTTAAATCGCTGAGACGAGTCCTCGTGTGCAGCTGAGGTGTGTGCGCTCCCCTGATGGATGGAGCCGCCTGCCCCGTGCCCCTGGGGGGCCGCAGCCATTCCCTGACCCCAACGGGACCAGCACGGGGGCTTCACCCCTGCTGCGTCTGCAGGGGTGTGGGGCTGGCCGTGGGGGGGCTCAGAGGGGGCTGAGGCAGCTCCAGGCTGGATGTCCTTGTCCCCAAGCGTCCTACCGCAAGCCCGGGAGCCTGCCCTGTGGCCCTGCCCCTGCCTGGTCTCCTCCCCACGTCTCCGGCTGCCAAGTGCCCGTGTGGCCCGAGCACACACACACAGAGGGGTCACTGCAGGGAGGAAACGCCCCGAATCTGCCTGCGCTGGGTGCCCTGCCCTGGGGGCTGGCAGGGAGCCGAGGAGCAGCCCAGGATCGGCTCCCTCCATCACCCAGCCTGGTTCACATCACTGCATTTCACAGAAATTTTACAGAAGGGGAAACTGAGGCACGGAGCTGGGTGTCCCCATGGAGCCGGCAAAATCTGCCACGTCCCCTCCCTCTCAGCTCTGCTCTCAGCCCCGGGACGGGTATCTCCATCCCACGGCCGTGTGCCCTGCGTGGATCACAGCCCTGCTCCTTCCTCACACCCCCGCCGGCCGGCAGAGCTCCCCAGGGGGCTCCTTTTGGGGCAGTGAGGGGGCGGTGGGGTTGCGCTGCGCTGCCCGGGGGGGGCTGCCCGAGGGTTGTGCTTTACCCTGGAGCTGGAGAGCTGCGAGAGCGTCGCGTAGGTGTGCTCGCCGCTGTGCTGGCTGCTCAGCTGCTGCAGGGACTCGAGGCTGGCCGTCCCGCTGCTCAGGCCCTTTTGGTGCGCACCAAACAGAAATAAGGACAGCGGGTGACCCATGGCCCTGCCCCGGCCACGGGGACGCGAGGGGCAGAGGAAGCCCCCGGAGCGGGAGGGCTCGTGCCCAGCGGTGCCACCAAGGGCGTGCCAGGAGGGTGCTGCCTGCCTTCCCTGAGCGGGGCACAGGGGCGGGTGCCCGAACCCACACAGCCTGGCCCCGGGCTGCCCTGTCCCCGGGCAGCACAGCCCCGGTGCCACCGGGTCCTGCTGCTGCTTCCCTGCCCTGCCTCTGCTGCCTGCCCCCGGGGGAGCTCGGCGTGCCTCAGCCCCACGGGGCAGGGAAATGCTCGGGGGTCTGCGGGCGGGCAGAGGGGCTCCAGTGCCCACAGGGCGGCGAGGTGCCGGAGGGGACTGCCCCACAGGCACGGGGACGGCAGCCCCCGGGGATGTGGTGGCAGCGGCGGGGAGGCGCTCACCATCCTCTGGCGCCGCTGGCGCCGCCGCAGGCGCATGAACTCCTTGTGCTGCCGGGACACGAAGTTGACGGCGGCGTACTCCAGCAGGGCGGCGAAGACGAAGAGCAGGCAGACGGCCATCCAGATGTCGATGGCCTTCACGTAGGAGACCTGCGAGGGGACGGGGGGTTAGAAATGGGGGTGTCCCCACGGCCCGGCACTGCTCCTGCCTTCCCCGTGCCCTCCTCGCTGGGTAACGCCATGCCCAGCTTTCGGAGGCTGTCCCCTGCAGCTGCATGCCCATAAATTCGGGGGAACGTGGCTGGGGGTTTTGGCTTGCAGCCGGCGAGGCTTTGGGGACCCCTCCCCAGGACACGGCTGTCCCCACCCTGGGGCTGTGGGGCCGCCAGCGTGTCCCCAGCGCTCACCTTGGGCAGGGAGGCACGGGAGCCGGCGCTCTGCGTGGTCATGGTGAGCACGGTGGTGATGCCCAGGCCCACCCGCGCCGGCGCCGCGTCCATGTTGATCCAGAAGGAGACCCAGGAGAGGATGACGATGAGCAGGCTGGGGATGTACATCTGGATCAGGTAGTAGCCCATCTGCCTCTCCAGGTGGAACTTCACCTCGATGCAGGTGAACTTGCCTGCGGGGGAACAGACGGCCCCGATGGGCGAGGGGGGCCCCGTGCCGTGCCGGGGGGTGGCAGGGGGGTCCCCGGGGCGCTGACCTGTGTTGTAGTACTTGGTGCAGTAGCCCAGGTCCTTCTCGTCCCTGAGGATGAACTGCGGCAGCGTCAAGCCCTCCGCCACCTGCACGGCCTCCTGCTCCTCCAGCCACTCGAAGATCAGGTCGTTCATGGTGTAGCCGACTGGGGAGGTGATGGAGGGAGCCGTGGGGCAGGGGGACGTGCACCCATCCACCCTCGCCCCAAATGGCCCCTCCTGCACCCTCACCTCCCCCAGAAGTAGGGAGATGGGGTGGGATGGGATGGGATGGGATGGGATGGGATGGGATGGGATGGGATGGGATGGGATGGGATGGGATGGGATGGGGTGAATCACGCTTTGAACCAGGTGCTCACAGCTCTCCAGCTGCATCGTGCACGTCTGGATGTCCATGGGGAAGTTCTTGAGGTCCATGGGGCAGGACAGGATCAGCGTCAGCCTGGAGGGGGCAGACCAAAGGAGGGGCTCGCTGAAAGCTGCCTGACGGGAGGCAAGAGGAAAGCTTCTCCTCTCTCCCTCGAGCCCTGCACCAAGGAGAGAGGGGCTGAGCCCGCGGCACCTGATGCTGTAGAGCACGTTGCCGTTCTTGAAGATGCGCAGCAGCTTGTTGTCGGTGGTGACCTCGTGGAAATTGGCCCCTTTCTCGTTGGCGAAGAACAGGTCGGGCTTCCAGATGGAGTCGAGCATGGAGGGGTCGAGGTCGAGGGAGTCGTCGGGGTACTCGCGGTAGGCCAGGCGGGGGTCGTTCCACTGCTGCCGCAGGAAGACGTTCACCCGGTAGTCCTGGGGCAGAGGCACGGCGTCAGCAGGGCACGAGGAGGAGGAGGAGGAGGAGGAGGAGGAGGAGGAGGAGGAGGAGGAAGAGGATGAGGAGGACGAGGAGGACGAGGAGGAGGAGGAAGGAGGGGAGGAGGAGGAGCAGCGAGGTGCCGCCTGCAGCACTCCCTGTGAGCACCGGGCCCCGCATGCTCCCCAGGAGAGCACCCCCGGGAGAGGAGCCCCCGGCGAGCCCCTCACCATGGTGGTCTCGGTGACGGAGCCGAAGCTGTTGATGAAGATGTTGCACGTCACGTTGACGGGCGGGCCTGGAAAACAAGCAGGCGGCGAGCAACCTCCCGCGGCTGGCACGGAGAGCCCAGCACCACGGGGACGCGGGCAGGGACCCCACACCCTGTGGGGACCCCCACAGCCCACCGGGGACAGCCCCCGGGGTCCGTGCCCGTCCCCTGGGGCTGGGCGGCTGCATGGGAGTGGCCATCGGGTCTGGAAGCCCCCCACCCTGCCCTTACCTTTGAAGTTGGGTCGAATCCGGGCATCATACCCCGACGTTCGCCCCATGAGCTTGTCCAGGAAATCAGAGGGTGACATGGGCTGGGGCGAGCTGCGGGAGGCAGCTTTGATCTCCTCCCTCCCCGAAACCAGCCTGCAGGGCGGAGGAGGCCGCTCAGACGTTTCTCACCCATGTCCTGGGGTGCCCCAAAGAGGCAGGAGCCCCCGGGAAGGCTGTTTGGGGCCGGGTACCCACGGTGGGGATGGGGCACGGCGGCGATGGCCCCGTGCCGTGGGCTCTGGGCGCTGGGAAGAGCCTCTGGGATCCCTTCGGATCGAGCTGGGGCCAGGAGGAGCAGCACGAGGAGCTGCCAGGAGCTCTCCCACGCATCTCCCGGGGATGATGGAGGCTTATTGAAGCTGACCTTGGAGGGGATATTTTGGCGGACGCCTCGCCGCCTGCCAGTTTCCCTCCTTCCATCAGTCTCCACCGATCATTTCAAGGAACAATGCGAGAGACAAGCCGCTCACCACATGGCCGGGCATGCGGCTGCGCTGGGGAGGAATGAGCTGGAGACCTCCGGACACAAAGGGAGCTTTCAGAGCGCTGCTGGTGTGTCCTGCTCCTGCTCGGGGCTCCGCACCCCTTACCACAAGCACGGCACCGTGCTGGGGGCCGGGAACCTCTGGGATCATGGGCAGGGTAAACCCGCACCGTGCTCCTACCTCTGCTCGGGGGAGCAGGGGGCATCCCGAGGGGCTTGTGTGCAGCCTTGCTGGCCAAAAACAGCCACGACAGCAACCCCAAAATGAGCTGGCCGTGCAGGTTTTCCCGTACTTAATTGGGGACGGGCGGTGGAGAGTGCCTGGGTCTGGGCTTGGGCCAGAGCAAAAGGGTGGGAGAAATTGTGCCTGCAGCAGCTCGGAGCCTCTGGGGCAGGGAGAGGAGGAGGAGGAGGAGGAGGGCTGCAGGAGGACAGGTAGCAAGGAGTTAAGCCACATGGCCGTGAGCCGTGTCCTCCTCCGCCGGGGAGGAAGATGAGGGCTCTCCCTGGAGCTCCCCTGGGCACCACGCTGGGATTTTGGGGCACTGCCTCCCCTGGGGACGCTGCTGCTGACCCGGCAGGGCACTGCCAGGCCCCACAGCTCAGCACCTCCGTGCTGGGGGGGCTGGAGAAGGCTCACAGCCGCCCAGGAACATCCTGATCCCAGCAATTTGTGCCTGTGCAGCGCTGACATGTGGATACAACCCCCCCCTCCCCACCACAAGCACTGCAGTCCCCCCCGTGCTGCTCTGGCTGTACTGGGACGGGGTACCGTGTGCTGGGATGGGGGAGTGGGCTCAGCCCTGGGGGCACCGCAGCCCCCCCAGCCCGCTCCCTGCTCCCCAGGGACACGGGGCCCCTGGCAGCCCCCTGCCCGTCCCACCCCTGTCCCGGCGGCACCCAGGCTTGGCGGGGAGGGGACAAAAGGATTTGGGGACCTGGGGGGCTGCTCCCGCACCCATGGGCACCCACTGGCCTGGGCCACCTGGGGGCTGAGGCAGGACCACCCTGAGCCTCCCCCCAAATACAAAACCCCAAAAGTGATGCGCCAGGGCTGTGCCCGGCTCCAGGGGGACGGGGGCTTGGCTGCTTTCGGGGGGCCCCGCGGGAAGGGTCCGGTGGCGGGGGGGTCCCCAGGGGTGTCCCGGGGGACATCCAGCTCCCGGGCTGGGGACGTGGCTGCGGGTCCCGGCGGGGAAAGCCCGGAGGGGGGGGTCCCGGCGGAGAACCGGGCTCCCGGGGGGGGACACCGGGGAGGGGGGGGGCGCACGGGGCTCACCTGAGCGGGCCGCGCCGGGGCAGGAGGCAGCCGAGGAGGAGGAGGAGGAGGAGGAGGAAGGCGACACCGCCGGCCCGGAGCGCTCCCATCCCGCAGCCCGCAGCAGCCCCTCCGCCCCGGGCGCACGGGCATGACCCGGCCGGCGGCGGCGGCGGCGGCTCCCCCGCTCCCGATCCCGCAGCACCGGGGTCGCCGCCGCCTCCTCCTCCTCCTCCTCTTCCTCCTCCTCCTCCTCTTTCCCCCGGCCGGCCCCGCTCCTCATAGTCCGGGGCGAGCGGGGTGGGCGCCGGCCGGCTGCGGCCACCGGGAGCCGGGCGGAGCTTCCCCGGTGCGGCGGGGGAGGAGGCGGGCACGGCGGTGGGGAGCCGCCCGCCCCCCTCCCAGTCCCCCTCCAGCGTTTTTTGGGGGGCTCCGAGCCCGAAGCCCACCCCCGCGCCCCCTCTCCGCCCGTCCCGGAGCTCGGGGAAGCGCCGCCGGGCACCGGCACCGGCACCCGACGGGGCGGTCCTGGGGGAAAAGAGGGTGGGGGGAGACCTCCCCGGGGACCCCCGGGGCTGGGGGGAGAGGAGCCGGGCCCCCGGGGTGCGGGGTCGGGAGCTGGGGGTCGTGGTGGGGTGTCCCGGGGAGCAGCAGCGGGATGGGACCGAGGGATGGGATGGGGATGGGGGGGTCCGGCTGAGCGTCCTGCCCCTGCCCTGATGTGGGGAGCCTTTTTAGGGGCTGGTCCAGCTCTCCCCCACAAGGGCAGGGACCCCCGAGGGGCTCAGCACCCTTCACTGGGTGCCCAGTGCCTGCTTTTTGCAGAGGCCCAGCACATGGGAACCCCATCCCTCGGTGAGCTTTGGGAGGCAATGCGGGCAGGGGGGTGTGCGTGGCTGGGGGGCTGCGGTGCCTGCGGGATGAGGGAAACTGAGGCAGGGGCTGGGGAGCTGCTGGCCCACCCGGCTGGCTTCGCCCGGGGCTCGCTGCGGAGCCGCAGAGCCTTGCCCCTGGGCCCAGGCAGCCTGTGATTAACGTGCGGGGAAGCAAGCGGGATTTCAGAAGGGAAAAGCGCAGAATAAATGATTCCCGGCGGACACTGCCGCTCAGGTTTCCCTTCGCCCTACCGCGCCTGGCTCGTCTCATTTATTCGTATTAATTACACCGTGGGAATGGCCAGGAGCTGCTGTACAAAACCCTCGCTGTGGGGACCCATGCAGGACAGCCAGCGATGTCCCCAAGGAGAGGTGTGGGGTCCCCCCAGGGCGAGAGGGGGGCCCTGCATTTTGGCATCGCCTTGCTGGGCTCTGCGTTGCCTTCTCAGGAAGCTGGCGCAGGCTTTCGGGAGCTCCCCGCCGAGCGAGGAAACGTGGCTGAGGCAGCAGGGGCTGGGGGGGGATGCTCCAGTAAAGGGGGGGATGAGGGCAGGGGGGCACGGCAGCCCTCCCGCCCGCAGCTGGGCGCAGTCTCCTCCGATTACCGTTGCCATTAACGTGTGCGGGGCCGCGGTGCTGGGAGCCACAATCAGGATCTGGAGCCCGGGGGGCCGAGCAAGAGCTCGCCGCACGCCAGCTCCTGTTCCAGAGGCTGTCCTGGCTAACCCGAGCTGACACCGGCTGCGGGGGGGCAGCCAAACCTCTCACCCCACGGGGAAACTGAGGCACCCGCGCAGCGTGCCCGCGTCCCTTATTCCCCAGAGCAGCCCACGAGGTGGTTTTGCTGCCAGCAGTGAGGATGCTGCACACATCCAGCCCCGGAGGCAGGGTGCAGGGACCTCAGCAGCCTGGTGCAGAGCGGGGGCTGGCAGCAGGGTGCTCCCCGGGGATGCCCCGTCCCTGCCCCGTCCCCGTCACGCTGCGGTGGCTGCCGGGGACGGTGTCAGGCTCTGCTGATGGCACAGACGCAGGCAGCAGGGGTTGGGGCTGCTAGGAAAGGAGGAAAACATGTTTTTTTTTTAATTAATTTATTTATTTTTGATTCCTTCTCCTCCCCCGTCTCTGAGCCCACGTCAAACTGTTCCCCCGGGGCCCAACTCCTGCCCGCAGCAAATGCGCCTGGGTCCAGAGCCTCCAGGGGGGCTCTGCCAGCACCCCCCGCCTGCACCCCGACCCCTCGCTGCTGCTCGGCCCCCGGGCTGCCACCTATTTCATGTATTTTTGTGTTTAATCCTGCCTGATAAATGTCGTCCTGGCTTCCCAGCCAGCACCATTTCGAGTGGCTGAGTGATTAAACTCCTTGAAAACATCTTTATTTATTTATTTATTTTTCACAGAAAAGGTTGACAGGCGCTTCAGCTCAATCCTGGGACAAACAATCGCCTCTAGGATCAATTTTGTGCCACGAGTGCCATGAGGAGGAGCGTGAGGGAGGCAGGTGAAGGAGGTGATTTGCTCTGGGAACACGGCCCCAAATAATCCCCGGGGTGCATGAAATACGAGGGGCAGGAGCTTCGGGGGGACACAACCTGCTGCAGCTCCCCTGCTGCTTGAGGGGCTCCAGGAGGGAGGATTCTCCCCAAAGCCCCCTCTGGGCTGCTACACGACCACGTGGACACCTTGGGGAGCTCCGGACCTGTCCCTCCCTGCTGCTGTAGGTCTGGAAATTTACTGCAGGAGCGAAGATGTCCCCGGGCTGGACACGGGCAGCTGCCCGCTGCGCAGACGTTTGGAGGCATCTGATCGGGGCTGAGATCACTGCTGCAGAAAATACCTTCCCGAGCCTGCCTGCGCGTGGCTGCCAGCCCGCTGCTTGCCCCGGCGGCCAGCGTGTGCCCAGCTGGGGGCTCGGGGCTTGGTCCAGCTTCCCGGAGCCGCACCGGTCCCCACGTGTCCCACAGAGGCCGGGAGCGCTTTCCTGGCCGAGGCGCTGGGCTTCTCCTCCAGTGCTGCTGAACAAGGGGCCCTGGGGCTGTTTACGTGGCTCAAAAAAGTCAAAATTTGGCCAGTTTCTGCCACATCACTGTATTTTATTTTATTTTTTGAGGGGAAGATGCCATGTGGTGGTTCAAAATGCGCCGTGATTTCAGGACTTTAAGCCGAACATCCTGCCTTTGGAACAGCCAGAAGAGACGCTTGCAGCGGGACGCACGCCTGGAGCCGAACCCTTTTGGTTTTGGGGGAAAGCCCGACACGATTCCCGTTCACCCGGCTGTGTGAGCACTGGGACGGGGGCTGGCGGGCAGCCCGGCGGTGCCACCGGGACGCTGCGCCCCAGAGGAGATTGCAAGGTGACCCGGGACGTCGGCCCGAACTCCAGCGAGCGTCGCTCTCCAGCTCCGTGGCGCTTGTCCAAGCTAAAAATACCCCTGCTGCCGGCACGGCGCGGGGCGGGCGCTGCAGGCGGCGGCTGCAGAGGGATGCTCAGCACCACCGGACCCGCCAAGGGCATGGGGCTGGGCTCCCGCTCCCCGAGCAGCTCCTGGCACCTCGCCGGGCTGCGCTCCCAAAACGTCCCGCTGGAGAGCACGGGGATGGGGGATTTGGGATGGGGGATTTGCCGCCAGGGACAATGGGAAGCGTGGCTGGGGCTCCTTCCATCCCGCTTCCATCTCCCAGCCCCGGGCACCTCCACCAGGCTGGGGACTGTCTGGGGATGGAGCAGCCGAGGAGGGAGGCGCACGCAGCCTGAAGGCTGGATCAACCTCACCAGACGATCCCGATCCCGTCACCTTGGCGAGCTGGGCGCGCTGAAAGGGGAGATTTAATTTAGATAAGTGTCAAACCAGGCTCCCGGGGCCAGGAGCAAAGCCTGGTGCTGGTGCCAAAGCCCTCAGCAGGCTCCTCACCGCCCCAGGGTGACCTGGCCCGTGCCCGTTTTTGTGTCTCTTCTCCTCGCCCATGGGTCACCCTGTTGCTGCCTGCCTCGTCCCCGAATTGCTGGGGAAGCGAGGGGAGGCTGCTTTGGCTGGGGCATGCCCGTGGCCTCCCGGTGAGGATGCTCCCATCCCTGCTCCCATCACCTGCAGCATTTCCAGCCACGTAGGGGAAAATCTGCCGGATTTTCACAGCACCAGACTCCCCAGCCTCTGCCCCGTGCCTCCCCCGTCCCCAATCCCCCGTGGCTTCTGCGCCTGTGAAGGAGCAGCTGTGGAAAATCGATGCCTTGGCCAGCGCCGGGTGCCTGTGCTGCTGTACAGGGACAAGCTGGGGGCACCGTGGCCCCCTTCACCTCCCCGTTTTGGGGTGCCCTTCCCCTGTGCATCCCAGCCTGCAGTTGCCATGGCAATGAGCATCCCACGAGCTCCGGCTCTTTCCTCGCCTCCGCATCGCTCCTGCCCTCGGCCCCAGCGGTCCCCGAGCACGAGAGCAGCGGGAGCAGAGCGCACGGCGTGGTGTTCACCATTAACCACAGGCTGCCCGGCTCGGCCGAGCTGCGCGGGGTTATTTTTATTTGCTAGAGCCCCCCCGGAGGGACGGGTTTGGAAGGCGAAGCGTTACACAGCTGCGGCATCAGGCGGGGAGCGAAGGAAGGAGAACTCGGCCCCCCTCCCCCTGCTCCGTGCCCCCCCTGCTGCTCCCCTGCCTGGCATGGCTGCCGCCGAGGAGATGAAGGATTTGTTTAATTAGACGGCAAAGCCTCCTGCTGCTGCACCGAGGCAAACAGCAGCAGCTCGGGCAGCGCCTGCGTCCCGGGGGATCGGGGCTGCCCCGGTGGCACCGGTGTCCTGCGGAGCCCAGCGGGGCCGTGGTGTGGGCTGGGGGGGCGGTGTGCTGGGTGTTGCAGCCCTGGGGCTGCCAGGGATGGGGCACGGGGAGCATGGGGACCCCTGCTTTGTGTCCCTGGCCTGCTCTCTGCTTCTTCTTGCTCTGGCAAAGGCAGCTCTTCTCTGCGTTTTGGCACCTCGGTGTCCCCAGGGAGTGGTGGCGATGGTCCCGGTGCAGCTGCTGGCACAGAGGGGTCCCTGCACGGGGACTGTGGTGCCCAGAGCTGCTGGCAGGGCCAGCCGGGGCTGCCTCTGCCCTGCCCAGGCTCCGTCAGCTCCTCCGTGTCCGTCTTTGGCTCCCCAGGTTTGCCGAGAGGTAACCGAGCAGCGCTCAGTTCGAGCAGCTCGACCCTGCGGAGGGCAGAGCGGGAGAGTAATGAGCAGCCTGGGGAGCCGGGCGGCTCTTTGCCCTCCTTCGTGAAGCAGAATCAAGGAGAAAGTCAGGAGACGTGAAAGGCAAAGCTGCTGGAAAGCCAGCCGGGGGAACAAGCTCCAGCTCCTCGCCAAAGCCCCAGGCCCGAGCCTCGTGCCCATCGCTCCCCCTTGGCGAGGATCCTGCCCAGCTCCTCTCGGCGAGCGCAGCCAGCCCGGGAGAGCAGGGCCAGCTCCAGGCACCATCCCTGGCACCGCCGGGGGGAGGCAGCTGCAGGGCTGGATGCTGCTCCTCTCTGCTTGGACGGGGGATTTGGCACGGCAGGAAAATCCCTGGGCATCCCTGGCTGCCGCGGGCAGCTCCAGGTCCCGTTTGGGGCTGCCCAGCCCAGGGGGTTCCCACCCTGCGATGGGGGAAGCGAGGCGGCTGAGGACGGGAGGTTGAAACCAGCAGAAATTCAGCCTGGCCGGGGAAGCGGCTGCCTAAAAATAGCATCCAGGCTCTGCGCTGTGACAGCACACACCGGTGTTCCTCCCGCTGCCCTATGTATAATGGATAAGGCGCTGCACGCGCTGTCGCCGGCTCCTTTCGGGTGCATCGAGGCCCTGAACATCGGAGATGTTGGACCTGCACCCCCCGGCCGGGCTGCTCGGGGGGGGGATCCTCCTCCTGGGGCTGTGTTCACGGAGCCAGGCAGCCAACTCGCCCCCTGGGAGATGCTTCAGGCCAGCTGGCTGCCAAAGCAGGGCCAGAACAAATCGCAGCACAACCCATGTTGATTTATAAGCACGTTTATTTTTACCTGGCCAAACGGGGCAGCGTCCCCCGTTCCCTGCCCAGCAGCAGCGTGTCCTCGGGCAGGGAGGGAGCCAGGGAGGAGAGCTGCAGCACGCCGTGCTCGGGGCCTCATCCAGGGCAGGGATGCGCTGAGCCTGCACAGGGAGAAGGTCTCACGGGGTTTTTAGGTGGAGAGCAGAGGGGTGGGTGAAACGAAGCCAGCCGCGGGGCTTTGCTGGGCAAGCAGCTGTGCGGCCCTGGGGTGGGGGCACACGGGGGGAGAGCTCGTTAACGAGCAGCTCCCAATTACCCGGGGTTTGGAGGCGCTTTGTGCAGGAATCACGGCCCCCTTCATTGCTCGCACCCTCCCCGGCAGCATGAAGCTGCTGCTTCCCCCTGGGGTGTTCACAAAACAGGAAAGCTCAAATGCCTGCGGACAGAAGCAGCAGGGATTTTATTCCTCCCCCCCCCCTCCCCAGCACTGTTTTTCCCTTTGGTGCCTCAATCCCTAGCAGGGAGGTGAGCTTCAGTGTCAGGAGATGATTTTTAGAAGCGTTTTCTTCCTGCAGATAACCTGAGGGAACCACAGCCCTCCCCGTGCCCCCTGGCATGGCACCACCACAGTCCCGTCCCCTCCCTCGGTCCCGCTGACCCCGGGGGCACAGCAGGCCGGGTCCCTTTGTGGTACCCTGGGGACCTGCCCGAGGATGCTGCCCGCAGCGGTGGCCGAGCAGCCTACCTGCGGTGCGGGGACCCCCCCCAACAGTGTCCCCATCCCTGGGGACGGCCAGGCCCTGCCACCTCGCCGCCTGGCACGACGCGGGGCATTGAGGACACAGCGCGGCTTTGTCCGCCCCGCGCCCGCCGGGCAGGGACCTGTTGCCCTCTGCAGGCTTCCCCAGCCCTGCGCCAGCTCCAGAGCTGCAGCACCCATGGGGAATGGGGTCCTGAGGGAGTTGGGGACACTTGGAGGAGCTGGGGGCACCTGGGGGAGCTGAGGACACCTGGGGGAGTTGGGGACCCCCAGGGGAGCTGGCCCCACCTGGATCCCTCGGCATCATTTGGGGACCCCTCTGCAGGCCCCCTCCTGGGGGCCATGCCCGCTGGAGCCCTGTCCCCCGTCCCACACAGGGGACATTGCCCCTACCAGCAGGATTCCCACCCAAACAGAGCAAACACCCGGAGCACCGAGGCTGGAAGCAGGTGCCTGGGCAGGGGGGGACCGGGAGGAGGCAGAGGGACACCCCCCCATCACCTCCCTCACCGCTGCGGGGCTCAGCCAGCAGCAACCTCAGCCCAGGTGGGCTTGGGGGTCCCCAGAGCCACTGCAGAGGGGCCACCCATCACCCCCAACACCCCCCCAAGCTGCTTTTTTCCTATTGCAAAGCCTCCCCCCCCCGCCAGCCCTGCGCGCCGCTGCCGTGCCCACGCAGCACCGAGGGGCTGGCAGCCAAGGGGTGCTGCTGGGGGGGCCGGGGCGGGGAGGGACGGGGGCTTGTCCCTTTAAGGGGGGTGGCTGTCACGCAGAGAGCCCTTTTCTTTGCTGGAGAGGGGGACAGGCACCCAGAGGGCACGGTACAGGGCGAGGGACTGCCAGGAGAGGCGAGGGCTGGTCCCAGCTGCAGACAGAGCCCAGGCAGCTGAGCGCACGGGGAGCGGACCGAGTCCGGCACCATGGGTGAGTATGGGGGGACAGGGGGGGCTGCACAATGGGGACAGCTGCCACACGGTGCGGGTGGCACGCTCCTGGAGCAGAAAGGCACCACCAAACCCGCCCCCGGCACCAGCAGGCCACGGGCACGCAGGTCCCCACGGGTGGCAACCTGCGGGGAGGAAGCCTCCGGGTGGTGGGGACGGGATCTTGCTTCCCCACACCGATTCCCGGCCCCGTTCTGCCTCCCGGGACACGTCCCACCACCCCTGCAGCCCCAGGTTGGAGAGCTGAGAGCTCCCGCCCGGGCTGAGCCCTGCCACAACTCGTGCTGCTTGTGTGCCTGCAGCCCTGGGGCGCTGGGGTCCCCCCATTAACACCAGAGGCAATAATTATGGCTCGTCCCCATCCCTGTGGGTACCCTGTGGCCCCACAGCGGCTGAGCCAAGGCACAGGACCCGGGATTGTGCCACACAAGTGCCCTTTCTCTCCTCCCTTCCCCTCCTTTCCCTTCCCCATCACAGCAGCAGCTTCCCGCAGCCTGCGGGGCCGGGGCTTTTTTGGGGGGGAGCCCTGCCAGGCCCTGCCACATCCGTGGGGCCGCTCGCCAGCCCCAGCCCCGGGGCACCTGCCTGCCTCGATGTTCCCTGGCTGGCATTTAGGCTGGAAAAAAAAAGGAAAAAGGGAAAAAAAAAAAAGGAAAAGGAAAAGGTTGGTTGGTGCCAGCACAGCCCTCCCCACGGACCCGACTGAAATTCAGGGAGCATCACCGTGGGAAGAGCTGGGGCTGACAGCGGGACCCCCCCCCTTGGTCCCGCCGTGCCCACGCCTGCCCCGTCCAAGGCAAACAGGCGGGGGGGGGTCCCAGCGCCCCCACAGCGCTGCCTTTGTTCCCTGTTTGCTCTCGGCCCGGGGTGGCCGCAGGGGGGGCCGTGCCGGGACAATTCCCCATTGTCCTCGGTGCCACCGCGCGACCTTGCTCTGCGAGGAGGGGAGGGCATCGCTGTGGGGCCCAAGGCTCCCTTGTCCTCGAGGGAAGGGAGAGCTGCTGCGGGGTCTGGGGAGGGGGGGGAGCGTGGGTTTGGGAACACTTCCAGCAGTGCCAGGCCAGGGGGGGGCAGGCACCCGAGCGCCTTTTTGGCATTCGAGGCACAAGCAGGGAGTGGGGGGGGTACAAACCTGAGCCTGCTCCCCAGCACCACAAGGCGGCATTTCTGCTCCATCCCTTTATCATCCCTGCGCCTGCTGTCCTCCAAAACCCCTCTCCCTCCGGCAGGTCTGCTGGAGTGCTGCGCACGATGCCTCATCGGGGCACCCTTCGCCTCGCTGGTGGCCACCGGCCTGTGCTTCTTCGGGGTAGCGCTGTTCTGCGGCTGCGGGCACGAAGCCCTGACGGGCACCGAGCAGCTGATCGAGACCTACTTCTCCAAAAACTACCAGGACTATGAGTATCTCATCGATGTGTAAGTACCCTGCCCGCCGCCTCGCGGGGCTCCTCGCGTCTCCGTCGTGCTCCGTGCCGCGAGGAGGCGGCCGGGGCTCCGCTCGCTGCTGTCACCCTCTGGGCTGTGGCCGGTGCCACTGCTGGACACCCCGGGCTGTGTTTGCCCCGGGGCAGCCTCACACCGGTGCCGTGGCTGCAGGGCAGGGCTCCGCGGCCGCTCGTTTCCTTTTCACTCCTGTTCTTATCTGACCTCGCTAGGTGCCACGGCACGGGCAGGACGGCCGCACCGGGTAGGTATGGAGGGCACGGGGGGGCTGGTGCTGCTCTGCAGCCCCCTGTGGATGGCTCTGCCCCAGCTCACCCCTCTCACTGTCCCTTTGGGGACAGCGGCTTCACCCCTGGGGCTGTCACGGGGTGTGTGGCCACAGTGCTCGGGGAGGGTAAGTGGCGGTGTGCAGGCTGCCCCGCCTGGGTCGGGCACCCCGGCACTGCCTGAGCGCCCCTGCCCGCTCCTCTCCCCGGCAGCATCCACGCTTTTCAGTATGTCATCTACGGCACGGCCTCCTTCTTCTTCCTCTACGGAGCCCTGCTGCTGGCCGAAGGCTTCTACACCACCGGTGCCGTGCGGCAAATCTTCGGGGACTACAAGACCACCATCTGCGGCAAGGGCCTCAGCGCAACGGTAACCGGGGGCCCGAAAGGGAGGGGAGCGCGAGGCCCCCAGCGAGCTCACTCTTTGCAGCGGGTGTGTCAGTGTTTGGGAAAGTGGCTAGGACATCCTGACAAGGTGATCTTAACCGGGGTTCGGCACCCCTTCGCGCGCCCACAGCGGCTTCGCCGCGCTCGGCACGGCCGAAGGGCAGGAGACGGCGGCCGCCTGGGTTTCGGGGCATCCCGAAGGGAAGCACAGCCCGACTGCCCTCCCTCAGGCTGGGAGCGTCCCCCGGGGACCGAAGCAGCTGACACGGCTGCAGATTTTGCCGGCAAACAAACCTCTCGGTGTTTACGCACCGGCTGAGAGAGCCGTGAGCATCCCCTACAAGGGTTGGGGCGTGCTGGCAGCCCCAGGCTCTCCAGCCCCGCTGTGCGCGGTGTCCCCAGGGCCGTCCTGTCCGCAGGGAGCTGTGACAAAGTTGGCAGGGGCAGCCCGTGGCCTCGGGGAGCGGAGGGGGACGGCTGCGGTTCCCTTCGGGGACGGTCGGGGTGGCGCGGCGGAGGGAGGGCAGGAGAGCCGCGTTGCCCAGCCCAGGGGTGTGCAGCTGCGCTCCCGCAGAGGCCGAGCCCCGCTGGCACGTGGCTGTGGGATTCCCTCGGCACGGGAAGCGGCGGCTGTCCCGGCTGTCCCGCTGCCACCGGTCACCCCCACGTGCGTGTGACCGTCCCCGAGAGCCAGCCAGGCTCGGGCCGGTGCTCCATGGGGTGCAGGGGGATGCGCCGGGCTCGGCGGGCGGTGCAGAGCCAGGCACTGGCAGCGTCCCGCTCCCTCGCCCGCCCCGCGCCCTCCCCTCCTGCCTGGGGACCCTCGCGCTCCCCTGTCCCCATCCCCGGCCGCACGGTGACGGCGGCCGTGCCCCCGGCTTGTCCTGCCCCTTGCAGTTTGTGGGCATCACCTACGTCCTGACCATCGTCTGGCTGCTGGTCTTCGCCTGCTCCGCGGTGCCGGTCTACATCTACTTCAACACCTGGACCACCTGCCAGTCCATCGCCAACCCCAGCAAGACCTCGGCCAGCATCGGCACCCTGTGTGCGGACGCCAGGATGTACGGTGAGTGCTGCCTTCGCTGCCCCGGGGGCTGCGCTGCTCCCCCCGCACCCTTCCCACTGGCACCGCGAGGGGACGGGGCTGCCAGGAGGGACGCAGAGTGGAGAGGGGACGGAGAGGGCCTGTGGGGTCCGTGCCCCGGCTCACCCCGCTCCCCGCGGCTCCCCAGGCGTCCTGCCCTGGAACGCTTTCCCCGGGAAGGTGTGCGGCTCCAACCTGCTCTCCATCTGCAAGACCAGCGAGGTGAGCACCTGCCCAGCGCCCTCCCAAGCCCCCCGTGGGGCTGAGCAGACCCGCAGGCGGCACAGGGATGGTGGCAGCCTCTGCGCTCCCCTCCCCGGCTGGCAAACAGCAGCCCGGGAGCTCACCGCTGTGTTCCCTTGCAGTTCCAAATGACTTTCCACCTCTTCATCGCGGCCTTTGTGGGGGCTGCAGCCACGCTGGTCTCACTGGTGAGTCGGTGCTCCCCCTGCCCGGCCGTTCTCCTCCGCCCGGCGAGGATTTGGGGGCAGAGGACGTCAGAGGTGGTGGGCAAGGACGTGACAGAGCCCGTGCTCGTGTCGTTTGCGTCTGGCACATAAGTGCAGGCGGCGAGCTCAGGTGATAAGGAGGTGGCAGGAGGGGGCCCTGGAGGGGCTTTAGGAGGCGAGGAGAGGGGAGAGGTCCTGCTGCCGTGCACCAAGCCCTGTGCCTTCCCCGATTGTCCCACAAATGGCACTGCGGTGTCCCAGCGGTGCAGCAGGGCCCCGGGGCACTGTGCCGAGGGGGTGCTGGTGCTGGGCGCAGGGGTGCGCAGGGGGCTCCCCCCGGCTCCCAGGCTGGAGCGAGCCTCTCCTCCTTCCCCTCGCTCACTCTCCTCCTGCCTGCAGCTCACCTTCATGATCGCCGCCACCTACAACTTCGCCGTCCTCAAGCTGATGGGCCGAGGCACCAAGTTCTAGGCCGCGAGGTGGAGCCCAGCTAGCCAAACGCCCCCTCTTTTCTCTAACCCCGAGGCTTTAACACTGCAGCCGCCCGACACCAGGTCTCCTGCGTTAACTCTGCCTTCGCCGCTGACTCCCCTCCTCTTCCTCCCTCGCATCCATCGTGCTGAGCGTGACCAAGAAGGAGAGCTTCCCACCAATGGACCCCCCTTCGTGCACTTTTCTCTCTGCGCTCATCATCGGTAACCGGTTCGCTCTGGGGCCAAGCCCTTCGAAACCAGCAAGGGAAGAGGAGGGACTCACTCCAGTGTCCCTGGGATGAGCCAAAGCCTTCGTGCTCCCGGGAGGCAGAAATCCCCGTAGGTTGCTCTAAGAGTAGCAAGAAAGAGGCTAGAGAGAAAAGGAAGTTGGCCAAGTCTCGGTACCATTGCTAGAGACTCTCCTGGAGCTGACTGCCGGCACCTCTCATGGATGGAGGATGAGAACAATTTTATTTTCCCCTAGTAAAGAAAGATGAATTTACCCCAAAGTGCCTGCTGCAGCCAAGGCAAAGGGCGTTTAGGGCAAGGATCTTCCCGTTGCGGAGAAGAGAGCGCTGACCCCGATGCTGATCAAGCCCGTGCCCCTAACCCAGCTGCCCCTATTAAACCTGAAGGAGTTTGGTGCCTGTGGACGAGGGGGACTCTGAGCTTTACGCTCCAGCACCTCCAGGGCCCCCAGCACGGGGCAGGGCAGCAGGAGGCGGCAGGTAGGTGTGAGGGGGGCTGCCCTGAGAGCGTAAGGCCAGAGCAGTCCCTTTTGTAGGACAGGACACCCCTCTGGGCCGCTCGTCCCCCTGCGCCTCGCCGCCTCCCAGCTGCGCACGCCAGACGCGGTGGTGCCTTCACAATGGTGCTCTTCTCTCGGGGTGACGTCTGCTTCCCTACCGTTTGCTATGGCAAAGATCTCGATTTGTTTCTCACCTGTGCCAAACGTAATGCCCCCTCCTCCTGCCCCCACTCTGCCCCTCACTTTTTGTCCTTTTATTTTTTTAATTTTTTCCTGCGAGTCAGGACGGCCGTCTCGTGGCTAGCCACGCCGGGAAGGACTGGCAGCACCTCGGCTCCAGTCGAAACCCACGAAGAAGGGCAGGAGGCCGCTCCCCGCACCCCAGACCCCGCTGGCTTCCCCAGGGCAGGGCGAGGAGCCGGGGGAGACCTTTCCCGCAGCAGCCCGAGGGAAGCCCCCCGGCCGGGTGGTGTGGGTCCATCCCTCGCTGCCAAAACGCAGCTCCCAGTCCTCCCCGACAGCCGGCGTTTTGTTTCGTCCTCCCCCCGCCTCGCCTTAACGCTACGCTTCGTGTTTATTTATCGGAGAAACTACTTTCAGTAGCAGACCGTAGCTCCACCTCGCACGGATTTATTTTGTATTTTTTGGTGTCTGTATTATCGATGTTTTTCTAAGTGCCGGTTTCAGCAGGGGCAAGGATAAAGGGGCCGATCTGCTGAGCAGAGCGTTCGAAGGATCCTTGCTGCTGGCTGCTGAACGAGGTTGGCCAGGCTACCGACGCACACGGGCTGGGGAGGGGGAGATGCCAGCTGGGGCCGCGGGGTGGGGAGAAACCAGGCAAGATCTGGGAATTCACTTCAACGCCATCTCTCTTGGGGGTTTGCTGGTTCGTTTATTTTATTTTTTTTTTCTTTCGTATTGATTTAACAACAAATAACCAGACCCTCCTTCCCACCCTCGTCCCCAGACCCCAAGCACACACACGCACGCACACACACACACAAGCACACAAAAAGAGCGTTAATCAACTGAAAGTGTTTCCTTCATTTCTGATCTAGAATTTCAACTTGCTAACAAGCAATAAAAAGGAGCAAGTTTTTAAAGACTTATCTTACAAGATGTATTTTATAAAAATTAAAGAAAATAAATTAAAATTAAGAACATTCTGAACACGGTACCTGTCTGCTTCTGTTTGTTGCTCTGGTCTCCGTCTCCCCCGTCCCCCAGGGAGGGAAGGGGAGCACTTGGCCACTCCATGTGTGCGCCCACAGCCCAATTTCGTCCAGGGGGGCCACGTCCCCAACCCTGCGTCCAGTCCCTTTGTTCCCTTATCACCGCTGTCTCTCCTCCAGACCCCCAGAGGTCTTTCAAGAAGCCCTGAAAGCTGGGGTCTCTCAGGAAGCCCTTGCTTTTGGGGCAAGGTGAGGAGCTGCTGCCCTTCAATGCCCTGCTTACACGGTGCCAGCCTCTGCCACGTCCCCTAAGGTGGCATCCGTAGCACGGACACCACAGAACAAATCAGCACGGCTCAAGCACACAGCTTGCAGCACACGATGCACCTGGTACAAGCACATCCAGAGCCCCTCAGGACGAGCAGTTCTCGCTTGCAGAGAGCCCTGGCTGAAAGAAGGCGACCTCAGCCAGGCACAAGGGGCAGAGCTGACAATTTCAGGATCCTATAAACCCAGGTCCTGTGCTCTGCGGGCAGCCGGCGGGACATTTGCTGCCAGACCGTGAGCAGTTTGTGTGCAGGTTTCAAAAATAACAGACTCAAACCCTGCTCTTCTCAGAAATCGCCCCCAAAACACCCTGTTTCGGGTCATTCCCTCCAGGAGCAGTGCTGTGAGGCCGTGGAGTGATGCTCCCAGCCCGGGTCCCACCCCGGCTGGCAGAAACCCTTGGGGCCGTGGCTGGCATCAAGGGGGCCCTTTGTTCCCTGCGCTCCCAGCTGCCAGCACCCTCCTCTCCCCACGCTGAAAGGGCCCTGTGTGAGCGGGATGGGAACAACACCACGGCTCTTTGCGGGGAGCGGGGCTGCCCTGAGCGGGGTGGGAGGCTTGGGGACGGTGCGAGGCGGTGTGTGCATGGCCAGGAGATGGGCAAGGAGCCGGCCCCGGGGTCCCTGTGGAGCTGCCAGCTCGGGAGGCTGAGCACGGGGCAGGAGGAGGAGGCAGAGCCGACCCCATCCCCATCCCCATCCCATCCCATCCAGCCCCAGCTCCGCTCCCGGCCCTCCGGCTCCCCCCCGCGGCCGCTGCCTGAGCTCTGCGGGGCTGAGTGGGGCTCGGGGACAGGAGCCGGCCCTGTCGAGTGAGTTGGTGGCTCTGATGGCTCTAGGTAGATCCTTGCAGGCGTTAGATGCCGCCTCACCAAACCCTGTGACTCCTCCGAGGCTGGCACCCTCTGCCACCAGCTCACCTTGGCTTTTTCTCAGCTGTGTTTTGAAACAGCAGAGGCTCTCAGATACTCCAGCATACATTTAAAAGCAGAATTTCCAAGGACTTGAAACCGTATCAATGCCTCTGGAAGCACAGATAAGCAAGCAGGCATGAGAGAAAAAACAAGCTAGAGGTTCTGCCAACAGAAACAGTAGGCAAGGACTGTGCAAACACAAAGAAAGCCTCCCAAAATAAGTGACCGTCCTGGCAGGACGGCAGAAGAGAACAGTCCCCATATGCTGATTTCTGTCCCGGCATCCCATGGAAATCACGTCTGGTTACAGCCCCCTGGAGCAGGAGGGACCAGGTCCAAGATTGCAGGAAGAAATCAAAGGAAAGCACGGCTTGCTGCTGAGAGCCCAAGCTGAAAATTAACATATAGTGACAGAAGGAAGCAGTGTGGAATATTTGTTATGAAAGTGTCTTCTGATGTGCTCTTGGAAAGACAAAACTGGTCAGGGGATTCAGCTTGTAAATAAGTTATACTTACTCAACGACTGCTCAGGAATAACCAGCCCCTTTGTTTCAAATTTGGTGACATCTCTCAGCCAGTTGCCACAACCAACCCAACTTCACGTCCCAGTCAGGAGAACAGTCACTGGCTTGAACTCTGATAAAGCAAAAAGTCAACACTTTCTGAATTCGCTTGGGTACATCCATGTTTTATTTGCTTAAATAAAGGTAGAACCTCAGTTTTACAATTCCAGTTCCGTAGCGATAGCAACAACTGCAGCAGCATGAGTGGACACAGGGAGAGGACAGCTGTTGGCACTGAACTTTGCAACAAAGAGTTCAAGATCCCGGCTCCTTCGGAAGTTGTGCGTCTCAGTTAGAATAAATTAAACAATTTAAATATATTATACTATACTTTTAGATGGATTTTTAAAAACGTATAAGCCTAATAAAATATTTTTTTTGTTTTAAAAAGGCAATCCAACATCTGTTAGGAACAAAAGATGCTGCGCAGCACCCTCCAGGGAGCACACACTGTTTGCACAGCCTGTGAACCATGATGCTCCCGAGCTTCTGCCAGGAGCATCAACACACACCCGAGGCACGGCAAACAGCACGCTGTGTGCATATTCCTCCTGCACCACAGGCTGCTCAGTCCCTGCCCTCACCCTCCAGAGGTACAGTCCTCACACAGATCACAAGATCCGTGCTGGGACAGGGGCAGTTTCCCCTGCAGGGAGCTTCCTCTGCAGCCCCCATGCCAGGCTGGGCAGCAAACAGGAGCCTGAGCCCAGATGGCCTCTGTGGGAACGAGCGCCAGCAGAACATGTCTGTTGGGAGCAGAACCACAGGTCACAGTTTGGGATCTTGAAGGAAATATTAAGCTGTGTTGAACTGAAGAAAAATCTAGAGGTCAGACATTGTTAAATAAATAGTAACATTAATTTTAAAATCCTGTAAAAATATGTTGCACCTACAGAGGCAGAGCCTTCTCTTATACTTCAAGGGACCTGATTTTCCAGAGGCTGTGAGCACTCCCTATCTGTTCCTGTGAATGGGAGCGTTGAGCCCTGTGCAGAAATCAGACCCCTCCAAAGCACTTTGTATTAAAGCTTCAGCCCCTTCCACGTGTGGCTGCCCTGTGAGAAGGGCAGCATCACCCTGAGTTCCCAGAGGAGACACCCTGCAAGTTCAGAGACTGCTGGGGGACGGGGGTTAGCTGCCACCAGCCAGTGTGAGAGCGGGGACTATCCTGCTCTGAAGCAGAGGATACGAGGCTGCTCTACGTGAGCTACGCGCTTTGCTATCCAGCAGCTCGTCACAGTGGGACTGCATTCAGCAGCTAGCGGATACACACTCAGGAAAGCTCTTCCCGTGACAGGCTCCTACGTGCTTACAGGCAAAGTCACAGTTTTGAACAAACACTCGCACGGGAAGTTGCAGGACATTGAGGTTACAATGGCAAAGACAGCAGCCAGCGAGCGCTGACCTCTCTGCTACACACAAATAGCTGGGGACGAACACCTAGCAGGGGGCAGGAGCTGGGGTTAGCAAAGCCTGGCATCCGTTCCTAGAAGGCTTCCTGCCCCCCCCGTGTTTTTCAGCCACCTTGAACAGAAGTGGAATCAGTCCAGATCTCTCCGCAGTGGGCTGAACACAGCTGCCATTAACAAGGGCCAATTAACTGAGCAGACATTTGCTACCAGTAGTAAGTCAGTTGAGTTACAGACAAAATGCATTTGATTCTCCTGTATGGAGCAAGGGCCAGGGCAATGGTGTGAGTTAACCGTGCTGAGCAGCACCGTCCCTGACAGACCAGGTGAGAACGTTGCAGCATCTAAATAGGAACATCTATGTTAAAGCAACCGCAGGTGCTGACCCACCAGCTAACAAAGCACGGTGGTCACGGCCCCATGCACAGGATTTAGCAGCTGCCCACGCATGAGCCAGCCACCTGCACTCTGAGGAGACATCCCACCCACCTTTCATCCCGTCTGCCAGAGCACATTGTCTGAACACAGCGATTACCTCTGGCAGAAACCGGCTGAGGATTCATGCTCCAGGCCTCCTGAACTCCCAAATAACTCTAAACCCTTTGACATGACCTGGTGAGTGCCCACATTGATATTTTTCATCCAGGGCTATTCAAGATACGAGAAGCAAGATCTGGTGTTGGGCCTCCAGAAGAGACAAGGGAACATACACTGAACAAGCAGCAACCAGTCTCTCCACAAAATAACATCCATACAAGACAAAGTTAAAGGTGGGGAAAAACAGACCAGAAACAGGCAGCTACAAGAAGTGATGCTGCAACATTCGGTTGCTTCTGTCCTTTGTATGTTGTTTCGTAACAGAGTTCTAACAATTCCTAGTTCAATTCAGTCTCAGGACAGAATGCATTGATCCCAAGGAACAGATACACAGCATCTCACCACGCTAGTACCCGGCATTCTCACAGTTGTGTGGGCTACAGCCTCCCCAACAGGTTTCACTCAATATGCTGAGCAGACTTTCCTTTGGCAGTAAGGTCATGAGTTCAGTGGGTCTGGTATTTTTTTTGAGTTCAGGACTAAAATACTTCAAAGAGTGTCTGGAGTGCCCTCAGCTTTGTTCTGCAGGCAGTTCTTGGTACAGATCAAAATTCACTGTCTTTAGTTTAACCCAGTCCCTTAAGCCTGCTAAAACAGGCAGAGATGGAAGCAGGACTACATTCGCATGCTCTCTGACAGCTCCCTCCTGTAGATACATCCTTCATGCCCAGAAACTCCAGCCAGAATTCAGACGGTAAGGCTGCAAACTCCCCAGTGAGCAAACCGCCTATTGTCCTTGTGGCCGCCGTCCTCAGAGCGCCCCAGAGCTGCCCGCACTTATTCCGACCCAGCCGCCGGTCCAAGCGACGTTCCCGAAGCAGCAGCAGCCTCTCCTAACAGCAGGAGGACCCCGACTTGGAGCTGGAGTGCAGGTCGATGGTGTGGCCCAGCATGCAGTGCTCTAGCTGCTCCTCCACCGCCAGCACCTGCCGCACGGCCTCCTCGAAGGCCACGGCCACGTTGGTGTCATCCTTGGCGCTGGTCTCCAGGTAGGGGTAGTTGCCGTTCTCCAGGCACCAGGCCTGCGCCTCCTCCGTGCTCACCTGCCTTTCCAGCTTGTCGATCTTGTTGCCCAGAACCACAAAGGGGAAGTGTTCGGGGTCCTTCACGTCAGCGTAATAGACAAACTCCTTCTGCCAGTTACTGAGGTTCTCAAAGCTCTGCCGGTCGTCCACGCTGAAGGTCAGCAGGCAG